GGGGGGGGGGGATTACAGAGGGTTCTCCGTTTAACACCAATCTTTTCCTTACCATGAGACTGGTGTTTGATATTTTGCTATACTAACGATACAAAACTGGGAGGGGGGAATAGAATAAAATAACAATAATAAAGTGAGGAAGTGTACGTTTTGAAATACCCAGACTCGAGCTATTTTAAGATATTCATGCACATAATATAGGATGAACAAATACACGTGCGGCAGTTCATCCGAACTCAAAGTGATATAATTTAGTACAAAAAAATCCCACACAACTAGAAACAAAAACAAAATAAGACTGACAAAATCCAGCTGCCACGCTTCAAAAATAGAATAAGAGCAATTACAGCAAGATGTAAGAGCCACAAATAAAAGCTGAAACCAAAACACAAAGCACACATTGTACTCCTTCTCTCACAAAAATAACCTCTCAAGTTACAATATAATATTATTATTCCATTGTTTTTGGAGCATAATTTCTTCTGTGTATCCAAATTCAAACCAAATCAATGCTCAACATCTTGTTAGCATCTTGACTACTTCTATTTTTCGGTTCTCCGCATGAACACTTCTATTTTTCGGTTCTCTGCACGTCATTATACGACACGGAAAAGTTTAGTCTTGGAGTTGCCCACACCTCCTTGCCATATTGCATCTACGTGTCTCACTCCTACCACCCCCCTCCACATACTCTTTTGAAAAACATGATAACATGTAGTTTTATACCTTTTTATTCAAAAGAAACTGTAAACTACTCTCTAATGTTGAGCGGAGTAAACTGGTAACTTAAGAGAGGGAAAAACGTATGTGTGAGTGTGTGTGTCTGTGTATATGAGAGAGAGAGAGAGAGAGAGAGAGAGAGAGAGAAAGAAAGAGAGAGACAGAGAAGGGAGACAGAGGGGATGGAGGGAGACAGGAGGGCGGGAGAACAAGAGACAAAGTAGGCGATGCAAAAACCTCAACTCAGACTCGCGAGTTCTCGTTCACGCATTGCCTTGCTTGTATCAAGTTTTCCACTTTGTGAAACACGACCTGACAGAATTCAACGTCCATTCTTTCATTGTTGTGTCCGCCGGGTGCGCCAGCTATGGCGCAAAACTATCCTTTGACACAGAGTCGGAAGGAACTGAATCATTTACAAATATGCAAGGGCTGGCATGTGGTTGAAACAATAATAACCCGATTTAAGAGTTACACGAGCCGAATAGATTCCAGGGAAATCCGTGAAATTGCAGGCTCAATATAAACACAGGAGTTTTCGCCCTTGGCACCGTTCGCTTTCAGGAAATGTGTTACCTCCCCTACTCCCACCACCCACCACCACTCAGGAGTTTTCAGTCTCAACATGAGCCTTTCTCTAATGTCTACTTTCTCGTTCTCTGTAGGGGGTAAAGAAAAGTTGAAAGTGTGATTAGAAAATGATAAACTTCCCCACCTGAAACATGGGCCCTCGTGAAAACAACGTGTACACTGTTTAGAGAAACACCAGAATGTAACAGAACGGCCGCCACAAGGTGGAACGCCGGAGACTGGAAACTTGATAAAAAGGACGAAAACACTTTTACGTTTGCTGCGTACCACCTTTAGAATACTCTCACACATATAATCAGATTCTCATAGACGTTCACGTTCTCTCTCAACCCCCCCCCCTCTCTCTCTCTCTCTCTCTCTCTCTCTCTCTCTCTCTCTCTCTCTCTCTCTCTCTCTCTCTCTCTCTCTCTCTCTCTCTCTCTGAACATCGAGACCAACTTCGATGCACCGATGGTATCAGTTTAACACACCCCTTCCAAACAAATTGAATTTAGGTAATTTAGTAGGCGGGTTGCTTTTACCCTGCTTTTATATTATATATACACACACACACACACAGAGA